AATGTTAATATGACCGCATAAGACTTTCTGTAAAAATGCACAAACGGATCTTGTTATGAAAAGTAAACAAACATGCTGGAGAATGTTGTCTCTGGCAACACTGTGTTACTACGATTATTGTCTCAAAGGCAGAATAACTAGGTGGCAAGATCCCCACCGTGGACAAGAATGTACTTCTGAATAACCGGCATCACGTAACATTGTTTCACGAACACAACAATTGCTTAAATGCATCCATTTACGATCGCGAAGAAGTGATTCGGTTCACTTACCGGTGTAAATGTATCCAGTGAAACACTCCAGTTTCTTTAAGCTACTTCTACGCATCCGCCATCTTCGGCATTAGCTATGTTTGTTTAAATGGGAAACACTCCCAAAGCTTAAAGAAGCCTGCCCGAACCATGCGCGCGGGGGGGCTGCTGGGTAATGTAGTCCTGCCACTCGGGCGATACGAGCATTCTACACAGAGCTTGAAAGGAAATAAACTACAAGTACATGAACCCCCGCAGATCGAAAAATAGACATCCAGTAGGAGATGGGCAGTAGTAGCAATATCGTAGAAAAAAATATAGTGCATTTATTTTTAGCTCTTCCAAGGACCACATAGAGATAACGGTCACGTATCCCTAATGAGTAGGCTGACGTTACGCCTTTATTTGCATAAGTTGAGTGTCATGAATTCGCTGTCTTTGCGAGAGATCGAATTATTTTTTCTTAGCACACATTTTTATTCATAGTCTGTCAAATCAAATCACTGTATCGACACTACAACGTGTACGTAGGTCTCATGTGGTCCACCAACATTGCAGCCACGTAGTGACAGTATAAGGCAATGTACAAGAACACAATAAACTCACTGCACAATTTACACATAATACACAATATCGAGATTTACATGTAGCCCAATATACATTATGCGCACAAAAATACATTACACAATATACACGATGTAGCCTACAAGCACTTGAACAGTTGCGAATAAGTTGCCGAATGCTTTTCAATATGCACAATACAGCATAATGTAAACTAGTTAAATTTGCCACCAAAAGTTAAGGCAATGTACAAGAACACAATAAACTCACTGCACAATTTACACATAATACACAATATCGAGATTTACATGTAGCCCAATATACATTATGCGCACAAAGAATACATTACACAATATACACGATGTAGCCTACAAGCACTTGAACAGTTGCGAATAAGTTGCCGAATGCTTTTCAATATGCACAATACAGCATAATGTAAACTAGTTAAATTTGCCACCAAAAGGGACAGAAATACTGTGGATATTTAAACGTGGAGGCAAATATTTTTTAGGCAAATAGGGAGGCGAACATCTATAACTTTATTTTTCATTACTAACATGTTTGTTTTTCTAGACGTGATATATTATGCATTGGTTTTATTATGCATTAAAATAAGCTATTGTTCACATCGATGATACTTGCAAAGTAAATTATATTTACTAAGCAAATGGGTGACATACTTTGTGTTTTTGTATGGTTAGAAAGAATAATATGTTCTTGCAAAAGGTAAAATGCCCTGAAAAATCAATTTTAAGTGTACAAATAGTAAATAATAATACATTTAAATTAAAAGAATAAAATAATAATAATAAATTAAACTGCTGTATATGTATATGTATTTAATGTATATTTAATACATATATATAATATGTATAATTTAATGTATAATATATATATATATGACACAGCAAACTATGATAGCCTTACTGTAAATTATCAAAGGCATGTGTTTCTATGTGAGCTTATACATAATAAGCTCACATTTTGTGATGCATATTTATATACTTAGATGTAAAGAGAAATAAATGCTCAAAAAAGCATTTTAGGACACACTTGTATTCTTGTGGTCTGCAGAGGCTGTAAGTGCTCTGCCCTCTGAAGACCAGACATGGAAGATAGAGAGAGAGAGAGAGAGAGAGAGAGAGAGAGAGAGAGAGAGTAGTAATTAGCTCATTGCTTGCTTTTTCCTGTCATGACATTTCCCTGCTATACAACCTCTGGTCTCATCTGGCCAAAAAACATAGATGTGAAACTGAAGCATCAAGCAATTTGATAATCACTGAGGAAAAACTCATATAACTAAAGAATATATTTTCACATTTCTTTTTGGACTTGTACGCCAAGGAAATGTGCAAATGTGAAGTGGAGTGGTACTTTTTAAGTCTTATTTTTAAATAATGTAGAGTAATAACATGCTATATGAGATAAAAAATTTCGGTTTTGAGCATATTTGACCACAAAACTGAGAGTGCCCCAATAACATTCTTCAGAAACCTAGAAAGAGGCCCATAGACCTGTTGTTGTTCCCTCCCCCAATTCACAGCACAATCTCACTTCCCCCTTCCAAGAGTGTGAGATGGTTTTCACCCCCAACCCCCTCACTCTGTCTGTCCCCTTTGAAAGGAAAGGAGATAGCAGTTTTAAAGGACAGGAGATAGCCCCTAATCATCTGCATCTATAGATTCTCGACCTGCAAACACGCAGTCATGAACCTCTCTTTTGTCCATCCCCTCTCCAGATGAAGTGCTTTAAAGATCTACTAGATGAAATCACCTCTTCAGGAATGTATGAATGAGGAGTGAGTAAAAAAAGTGCAATAATTACATCTGTTTAATTCAAGGTTAGGAAATTGCATCACTGTGCTTGAAGCTCTTTAAAGGGATTGTTCACCTAAAAATAAACATGCTGTCATTATTTACTCACTGGCACATCACTCCAACCCTGTATTACTTTCTTTTTTTTTCTGTGGAACCCAGAAAAAGACATTTTGAAAAATGGCTCAGTATTGTTGTTTTTTTGCCCATTCAATAGAAGTCAGTGGGAAATGGTTTGGATATCAAAATTCTTCAGAATATCTTCTTATGTGTGAAGAAAGAAAGTCATTCCGATTTGGAATGACATGATGGTGAGAAAATGATGACAGATTTTTCATTTTTGGGTAAATTATCCCTTTACGGCAACTGAGTGTTTAATGAAAGAGATGGATGAAATGCTATTATTTCTAGATATCTCTAGAGATCTTCCAAGCTGTCAGTATTTTTTAGAAAATATATACGGTATAATTATATATACAATTTTTTATAACTAACCTGCATTTTAAACCAGCAAATCCTGTGAATATCTTAAGATACTATAGATATGGAGCTGAATAAAATCAGTGTGCTTATGGAAAAACTCTCAATATTATCAATATTTCTTTGGCTGAGATCTTCCATGCTGTGTGAGTGTGTGTGTCTGTGTCAGTATGTGTTTTGATTTATTAATGCAGCAGGGAGTCTCAGACAGCTGTCCTCAGTATAGATGACAACATGAGGAGCCGAAAGCTAAATAGCTACCTCTAGTGGACAATCTGTGACATGACCTACTAGGTCTCTGAACAGTATTGACCTCATTGTATGTTTTTTTAGATGACGAAGGGCTGTGTTAAGCATTCTGTTTATTACTTTTAAGTAATGTAATTACACTTTGGTTACCATCATTCATCAAAATATCTTATTTTGTGTTCCACTGAAGAAATTAGATCATAGAGGTTTGGAATGACATGAGTGTGAGTAAACAATGACAGGATTTTCTTTTCTTTCTTTTCTTTTTTTTGGCAAACTATCCCTTTAAGAATTAGCTTTTAAGTTTTGTCTAAGGAATTGGGCTAGTAAGGAACCACCCAGAACACCATAGCAACAACCCACAAAAGTGCATGTGTTGTTGGTTCCTTTTAGATACTAAAACATAAAGTCTGGTTTTGCGAGGAGACATCAAGTGTGGGGTGTGTTTTGGCAGCTGAACCACTGCAAGGTGCTTCAGAACCTGTCGAATTAGAGTGGGTTTCAGATAAGCTGTGCCCAAACCCACCCTCTCAGATCTGTTTGAAACATATGGTCATGGCATCTTGAGTATAAATTAAGGCTGGAATACACTACATGATTTTTCAAATCTGAATAGATTTTAAAACACTAGGCATCATACATTTACCCGCCTGAAACAGTTACAGAAAAAAACTAGGCATCATACACTAAATAACTGAGGATCACAAACTACCGACTGTTAAGTCATTCAGAACACTACAAACTTATACAGAAACATGTTTGATATCTTCCTCAGACTGAACTGATTCATAGTCTGAAGCTAAAAAAACAGAGCCTGATATCTTAAAGAGCTGCTGGTCCCAAATGACCTAAATTGTATTTTTCCGCTACTAAGGAATTCAGTGGGGACCAGCAACTGTTTGGTTGCCAACATTCTTCAAAATATATATATATATTTTTTTAAATTTCACAAAAGAAAGAAACTCATACAGGTTTGGAACAACTTGAGAGTGAGTAAATGATGACAGAATTTTCATGTTTGGGTGAACTGTCCCTTTAAGACTCTCTCTTTACTGTTTGAGTAGAAATCCGTCTTAACACTAATGTACTTGAAGAAACAACTAGATAACCAACCCAAGCTGTTGATGATATGAATTTGAAGAATCAATGATGTGGTACGATTTAGTGAATGATTCAGAGGTAATGACGTAGTGAGCGATTAACAAATTCAAATTGAAACTTTTCTAACTGCATATAATATGCAAATATATGTATTAAGGCTGACAAACCAGATGAACCAGATATCTATCATTTAAGTATGATTTTCCTTTAAGCAGAGAGTTTAATTTCAACACTCAATGCCTTGTCAAGGCCTTTTTACTACTTTAACAATTACTTGTTTTAATTGAATGTAAAACACCTTTAACAAGAGCTTGACTGTAAATAATTTAGCTCAGTTTTAGCTGTACACATCAAGGCCTAGCTCCTTTTTCAGTTCACAATCCTGCCACAGCCTGTCTGTACTGAACAAAAGAAATGTACTCAGGAAACCTGCCAGCCAATCAGCTGCTGCCTTTCATCCTGCCTGTAAAAACCGGCCAATCACAGAACTGCTTTCATTGCTGTTATCAGAATGTTGGCTTGGCTGGCTTGGAGAGCAGAGACTGCTGTGTAGAGAGAGAGGGAGGGCTGTCCTCCATGTTTTAGTAAGCATTGACATTACCCACTGTTTTAAGCCATGCATCCACAGAGGTAAGAGATTTTTCATTGCTTATATGCTTTTTACACTACCTCTTAACGCTAATGGTTGAATTATGTCGTGCAGAAATACAGGATTTTCTGGGAGACAGGGGACAAAAACCTGTCCCAACACCAAAGAGCTGGATCCTGGCAGGCAGAGGCAACTCAGAAATCACACTCACACTGTGTTTTAGTCACCAGGCTCGCATGGCTGACCTGTGCTAACACTGTGACCAAACTGGCCTCTTCTGGTCTCTCTCCTAGTCAAGTTTCTCTAGAGCTGGTGAGGAGCACAGTTGTGTCGGGTTGTGTCACAGGCCAGGCCTCTCAAAATGGAAGGCCCTGAGGAGCAGACAGTACAGACTGTAAGAGGAAGTGCATATGTAGACTGGCAGAAAGATCGAGCAGCAGTTTTGGCTCAGGTTGCAATTTAAGGACACTTGACACACTTTCCAATGGCCGACAAAATGCTGAATGTCCATTTTGCTCAGGCTATAGGCCTAAAGCACAGAGCAGATTGCATTTGCTGACAGGGTTATTGGATCTGAAATAGAAGAGACTTTCTTTTCTATCAATAGATGCATATAGATGGTATAATAGGCTTGTGTTTGTCTTACTGGGTTAAATAGAGGCTTCTATCTGTTTACTCAGGATGTAAAGACTCTGTACAGGCCAGGCATTTTATCAAAACTTAAGTTGTGGTATGAGTTGGCAGCCATTTCAGACAGACTTCCTCTTTCGGCTGTGCAACCACAAAGACTGTGTTTGTGTCTGTGAATGCAAGCATTTTGTCTCAATGTGGCATTATTAATATTACGTTTGTATCCAGTATTTCAAATATTTCTCTTTGATGGCAAGTAGTTGGATACTGTATTTAATACAGCAGGGGTCTGATCAGAGGTTCAAAGCAGTGGATAGTGGTTTTCCACAACCATAATGTCAAACTGAGGTGTTTTTTAAAAATCTTTTTTAGTTCTTAACCTGCCATAGTAGTCATTGTCTGCTAAATAACCTGCACGTTGGACAGTTTGGCTGTTAAAGCAAGTGATTAAACCTGACTGTTTATCGGCTTCACCTGTCTGACTGACAGTGTATGTGCAATCGTGATTTCCTGATATCTGTTTGAGATTATACTTTAGAAATGTGATTTAATGTTTAACTGCTGAGATTTGTGGGGGGTGGATCAGTTTGTGTGTTAAAAAAGAGCTGAGAATGAATTACAACAGGGAGATATAAGAAACATCATTTTGAAATATCATCATCAAATCATTTTATTAGTAGTAGACAAAGAGTTTCCATATTTTTTTCTAAATATTACTCAAATTATTTATTTTTGTTTTATTGTTTTAATAGAAAAGAAAAAAAAGCATAAATGAATGTTACTCAAAAAAATTTCATGTTGTGTAACTATTTTTTGCACCTTGAATAATGGATTGGTTGTTGCATATATGTATATATATTATATTATATATAATAATAATAATAATAAATATAAGTATGTATTATATACACTACTGGTCAAAAGTTTGGGATCAGAACGATTTTAATGCTTTTTACAGGAGTTTCTTATGCTCATCAAGGCTGCATTTATTTGATCAAAAATACAGGAAAAAATTTAATATTGTGAAATATTATTATGATGTAAAATAAATTTTTTCTATTTTAATATACATTAAAATCTAATTTATTCCTGTGATGCAAAGCTGAATTTTCAGCATCATTGCTCCAGACTTCAGTGTCACATGATCCTTCAGAAATCATTCTAATATGCTGATTTATTATCAGTGCTGGAAACTGTTCTGCTGCTTAATATTTTTTTTGGTACCTGTGATACTTTTTTTCAGAATTCTTTGATGAATAAAAAGTTCAAAAGAAGAGCATTTATTTAAAATAGAAATCTTTTCTAACAATATACATTACCGTTACGTTTGGGGTCAGTACATTTTTATTCTTTCTTTTTTTGGAAGAACTTAAAACTTTTATTCAGCAAGGATGTGTTAAATTGATAAGAAGTGATAGCAAAGATTTATATAGTTAGAAAAGATTTATATTTTGAATAAATGCTGTTCTTTTTAACTTTTTATTCATCAAAGAATCCTGAAAAAGTATCGCAGTTTCCAAAAAAATATTTGGCAGCACAACTGTTGCCAACATTGATAATTCTAATAATAAATCAGCATATTAGAATGATTTCTGAAGGATCATGTGACACTTTAGACTGGAGTAATGGCTGATGGAAATTCAGCTTTGCATCACAGAAATAAATTATATTTTAAAGTATATTAAGATAGAAACCATTATTTTATATTGTAGTAACATTTTGCAAGATTACAGTTTTTTTTTTCTGCATTTTTGATCAAATAAATGCAGCCTTGATGAGCATAAGACACTTCTTTAAAAAACATTACAAGTCTTACTGATCCCAAACTTTTGACCGGTAGTGTATATGAATTACAAATGTCATGAAATCCACATTCATAAAATCATAAATCCACGTGATATTTTACAACATGAACTAACCTTGTTTTGTCATAAAAGGGTTGAATTATCTGATATTTAGGAGACACACTGACGTTGGTGATTTAGGACCACAGGGATCGCCTCTGTGACATCATTTACTGTTTTATTGAGAGCTTTTTTATGATATCAAGACAGTGTCACCCCCCCCCCCCCCCCC